GGTCATCCCCATAGAAAATATTCTGGTCTGGATCTGTTATTGACCAGGAGACAGAACAGTCTTTGTTGGTTTTCTTGTAAAGCTGACTATCTTTCTAGCTACCGCTGTATCAGAAGAAGTGTTAAAGCTTTCCCACGCTATTTCTTCGTTAAGTTGGAGAAGAAGATTTCCGTCGTCTCTCAAAATTCCAACTGTTGTGTTTACGGAATGTTGCGACGTAATATTAGTCGACCAGACAATCTTCCCTGTACGATCTAAAATCAATAAGTTGTCATCTCTGAGCGTGAATTTACCTGGAGAATCCAGTGGGGAGTCTCTGTTGGCAACCCATACAACTGTTTTTATGGGGCTTAAATCATGATACCAGATACCCACGTAGCTCTTACTGGAATTCTCCGGACTGAAGAACCCTAATGCATATGCACCAGTTGCAGAAACCAGGGTTTTATTTCCAGTGATGTAATCTCCCGACAGCATATTGTCTTCACATCTGGAAAACATTATGCAAAGAGAACATGTTAGAAAAAATACAAAAGCAATCATGATATGATGACAACCCATTTGAAGAATTGAAGATTTTTTCGCACCTGCATAGATAATCATCAAAACGAAGATATTTATAACAATAACATTGTATTTTAGAAAAGAAAACGACTTTTAATTCCTTCCTTGACTTTTTATAATGGGTAGGAGACATAAACTCAAGTATTCAACTTTGTAATAAAAATGTACGTAAAAAACAATTTATTATAAGATTTTTTTTCTTATTTGAAATTCATTGTTCTGACAATTTACCGTCAAATTAATAAGTATAATTTTCTTATACATGTCAGAATTTATTGTAATCATTTGATATATGTAATTAAAGCATAAAGTAGAATTAATTGCAGTTTTTTTTTTTACTTTGGGTTAGAGTCAAAGATATCAATTGCCTAATTTAAAATTTGGAAGTCAAATGATTTTGACTTTCTGAAAAGTTTATGTCTTTGAAAGAAACGTATCTGAGTTGATTCTTAATGATGGTCCTTTGGTAATTCGCATTCATTTATGTCCTTGTTTTCTACTAGGACCCAAACATGCCTTTGAAAAATCAAAGATGAATTATTTGTGGCCAAAACATAAAATAGCCACGTTTTTTATATACATATAAGTATCGATATCTTAATATAAAAAAATAATGAATGTGTATCAAAAAATTAACAAAATTTTTATAATACTAAAATGTTTTTTTTTTCAATTTATATTTAAAAATCTCTTTAATAAAGTCTTTAATTTTATGTTTTAAAATGGATTAAATCTGAAAAAATTATTAATTTGTGTCCTACAATCACATACCATATAAATGTGTCCCGTAGGAGGACAGCCATACACCACATAAAAAGAGTTTCTTTAAAT